TGTCAGTATCTTTGCATCCTGGGGGGCAAAATGCTGCTGACGAAAGGACCTCGGGGCCTTCCTTGGAAGAAAGAATCCGAAAAATGGAAGAATCTCAGAACGAGATTCTTCAACTCCTGCGGGAGAATCAACAACCGGCATTAGCACAACAGGAGGAAGTCTTCCTCCCCCAGAATCCACCACGGGTTGAGGATGTCCAATTTGGACATCTTCAAGCAGAAGTTCATCTCCCCCCACGTAGGAGATTTCCTCAGTCTCGACAGGATAGTGAAATTGTCGATACGGCAAGTTCTACACATCCTCCACCTTCAATTAGGCAACCTCGCATCCTCCCAGATCTCCCTGAAGACTCTGCTCAACCACATGGAGCAGAGCTCCCTCACGACGCCCTGCGTCACGAACTGCGAAAATTACTAAGGGAAGAATTCCCCCAAGGAGATGCGAGACAAACTCTCCGACAGCGAGACTTTCAGGAATCTTCACCTCTAACTGAGGCCATACTACAACATCCAATTCCGGCTAGATTTAAGCTACCTAGCATCGAGTCTTACGATGAGACGTCCGACTCGTACGAGCATATCGACCATTACAGAACTATTATGCACATTCAGCGGGCTCCGAACGCTCTCCTATGCCAAGTCTTTCCTGCCACTCTCAAAGGACAGGCTCGCACATGGTTCTACTGCCTTTGCCCTGGACCCTTCTATTCGGCACTTATGCGCGACACCGTTCCATCATACGCCAATTTAATCCACCGGATAGAAGCTCAAATCTCGGCGAATGAGGCCATAAACGCCCATAGAAAGCAATTTGAATAGTCTACTGGAAAGCGCAAGGGAGCGCCTGGAACAGATAATTCTTCCTCGCAACGAAAGAAACAAGGGAAGAACAATCTACCCCCGAGGTCTCCATTGCCACGGCGAGAACCTCGACAAGAGAAAGAATACACTCCTCTCAATACATCTCAAGTAAATGTGCTAATGGCTGTTCGAGATCAGAATACAGTTAAGTGGCCACATCCCTTAAAACCGAACACAAGAAATTAGGACCAATACTGTCATTTCCATCGTAGTCGTGGTCACTCTACCGAAGCTTGCAGACAACTGAAGGAGGAGATTGTAAGGCTTATCCGCCAAGGATATCTCCGCCAGTTTATTCAGAATCCTCCTCCCCGAGAGGAAACTCGTCCCGCTGGGGGGCAAGAACGACAGCATAGGCCACCAGTAAACAACCGAATAGCAATTGGAGAAATTGAGACAATAGTTGGAGGCCCTCTGCTATCTGATAAAGTCTTTTTGGCTGTGGACAAAACTCCAACTCCAAAGAAGGCTCGTGTAGATCACTCAATCACCTTTGATGATTCTGACTTGGAGGGAGTAAAAACCCCTCACCAAGATCCACTTGTTATCAACGCAGGCATAGGCGACCCGTGCTACAATGTCAAGAGAATCCTTGTGGACAACGGCAGCTCTGTGGATGTCCTGTTCTACTCGACCTTTCTCAATATGGGTCTCACAAGAGAAATGCTCCAGCCCGCTGCAGGCCCTCTGTATGGGTTTGATAATCGAACTGTATGAGCAGAAGGGATAATTAGTCTTCCAGTTGTACTTGGAGAATTCCCCCGACAATCCACACATTCTGTTCAGTTCATTGTTGTAAAGTCTGAATCGGCTTACAACGCTATCTTTGGAAGGCCACTCCAATTAATTTTTTGGATTGTCACCTCTATCCCTCACCTCAAGCTGAAGTTCCACACTCCAACAGGAGTTAGTGTGGTATGCGGAGATCAGCAAACAGCACAAACCTGCTATCTCAGGCAGGTCAAAACACACCCGGCCGATACTCTAAACATTGAATATTTTGATCTCTGGAGCGAGGACATACCTCAGAGAGCCTCTCCAGTAGAAGAACTCACCACTGTATCTATCTCTGAGCAACATCCTCAAAAAACGGTGCAGATCGGGTCACTTCTCTCAGAAAACGATAAGAAAATGCTCACAGATTTTCTATGAGAAAATCAGGATATTTTTGCATGGAGTCCGGCGGATATTCCCGGGATTGACCCTGAAGTAATTGTACATTCCCTTAAGGTCAATCCGGCAAACAAACCAGTCATCCAGAAGAAGCGAAATTTCACGCCAGATCGTCAGCAGGCAATCGAACAAGAGGTGGACAAACTTCTGAAAGCCGGATTCATACAAGAAGTGCATCATCCCAATTGGTTGGCAAACATTGTCTTGGTTCGAAAAGGGAGCGGCGCATGGAGAATGTGCATAGATTATACTGATCTTAATAAGGCCTGCCCAAAAGACAGCTTTCCCCTTCCATGTATCGACCAGTTAGTCGATACCACTTCTGGTCATCAAATGTTGAGTTTCATGGACGCATACTCCAGCTACAATCAAATCAAGATGAACCCGACCGATGAAGAAGCACCAGCGTTTCAAACAGACAGAGGACTGTACTGTTATCGGGTAATGCCCTTCAGGCTCAAGAATGCTGGAGCAACTTACCATCGCCTCATGAATAAAGTCTTCAAAACTCTTATTGGGCGTAACATGGAGGTATATGTTGACGACATGTTGGTAAAGAGTCTCGAAAAGTCTCAATATATCTCCGACTTGGAACAGTGCTTCCGTCTGCTGAGGCGTTACAATATGCGACTTATCCCTACCAAATGCGCCTTCAGAGTTGCTTCTGGAAAATTCATGGGTTTTATGGTAACCCACAGAGGAATTGAAGCCAATCCTGAAAAGATCAAGGCATTAAGAGATATGGTGCCCCCGAAGAACATCAAAGAAGTCCAAAGGCTGAACGGGAGAATTGCAGCATTGTCACGTTTCCTGGCGCGTTCAGGAGACAAATATCTCCCTTTCTTCAAAATACTCAGAGGTGCCCGCAACTCTGGTTTCAAATGGACGGACGAATGCCAAGAAGCCTTCGAACAGCTACGAAAGTATTTGGCCTCCCCGCCGCTACTTTCTAAACCGACATCCAGAGAAAAGTTGTATTTATACATAACTGTTTCGACTCAAGCCATCAGTTCGGTCTTGGTACGGGAAGAAAATGCCACACAACGCCCCGTTTACTATGTCAGTAAAATCCTGTCTGAGACGGAAGGGCGTTATTCCTTAGCAGATAAAACAACATTGGCGTTAGTTTATTCTATCAGGAAACTACGTCCTTACTTTCAAACCCACTCAATAGGAGTTTACACAAATCTGCCACTGAAAAGTATTCTGCAAAAACCGGAAGCATCGGGTAGGCTCGTCAAGTGGTCCGTAGAACTTGGCGAATTCGACATTCACTACTTGCCTATAAAATCTCAAGCACTCGCTGATTTTGTGGTTGAATGCACCGTACCAGCATCAGATGTTCAAACAGGTACTTTGCCTTCTCCTCCACGTTGGACGTTATACGTCAATGGATCCTCGGGAGGTTCAGGTGTGAGAGCTGGAATTCTGCTAATATCTCCGCAGGAGGTTACTCTTGAGTATGGGCTTCGACTCAAGTTCCCGGCAACAAATAACATGGCGGAATATGAGGCTCTTATTACTTGGCTAAAACTAGCAATCGATTGTGAAGTGCAGAATCTGGTAGTCCACACCGATTCACAATTAGTTGCATTCCAAGTAGAGGGAGAATTCGAGATCCACAATCCGCAGCAGGCTCAATATTGCAAGATTGCAAAACTGCTTTTAACCCGAATAGGAGAATATCAGATCATACACATTCTCCGAGAAAAAAATGCGAGAGCAGATGCTCTTTCAAAGCTTGCAACATCAACAACATGAGACATCTACAAGAGGAAGTGCGTTGAGGAGATCCACTTTCCTAGCATTCAAGGTCCATGGGTCATACAATCGATCAACGAAACAATTGAGGAGTCTTGGATCAATCCCATTTTGTCTTTCTTATAAGATGGGGTACTGCCTGAAGAACCCATGGCTGCAACGAGACTTCGAAGACGAGCAGCAAATTTCATCATTATTGGTGGTGAATTATACAAGCGCGCTTTCACCGGGCCATATCTGAAGTGTCTCCCACCTTCAGAAGCTGATTATGCTCTCCGAGAAGTTCATTCTGGAGTATGTGGCGAGCATCTGGGAGAAAGAGCTTTGGCTATAAGATCATGAGGCAGGGGTTCTATTGGCCTACAATGAAACAAGACGCGCTTGAGTTTACACGAAAGTGCGTAAACTGCCAATTACATTCTAGTCTCACCTATACTCTAGCTCTAGAACTTGCATCTCTTCAAAGCCCCTGGCCTTTCGCCCAGTGGAGAGTCAACATAATGGGACCCTTCCCTATAGCCACAGGACAACGAAAATTCATCATCTTGGCTGTAGACTACTTTACAAAATGGGTGGAAGCAGAGCCCTTGGCAAATATCACCGAAGCAAATGCCAAATAATTCTTATGGAAGAATATAATTTGTCGCTTCGGTATTCCAGCAAAGGTTATCACCGACAATGGAACTCAGTTTACTTGAAAAATCTTTACGTCTTTTTGTAAAGATTTTCACATTCAGCTTGTCCACATAGCTGTCGCCCATCCTCAAACAAATGGGCAAACAGAAGTCACAAACTGAACAATTCTGAAAGGGCTAAAGACACTCCTAGGGAAGGCTGGGGGGCAATGGGCTGAAGAACTCCCGAATGTCCTATGGGCTTACCGCACCACAGCCAGAACACCTACAGGAGAGACTCCGTTTAACCTCTGTTTCGGCACAGAAGCAGTCATACCAGTGGACATAGGGGTCCCGAGCAATAGAATTCAGACATTTGACTCCAGTAAGAATGAAGAAAAACTCAGGACTAATCTGGACCTCCTCCCCGAGGCAAGAGATATAGCCTCGCTTAAGACCGCTGCATACCATCAACGGATCGCTCGTCACTACAATCGAAGGATAAAGCCTCGAACTATCTCCATTGGAGATTTAGTTCTGCGAAGCCTTGAAGCTGCTGGGAAAGGCCCTCAACGACTACAATTGAAGGATAAAACCTCGAACTATTTCCCTTGGGGATTTAGTTCTGCGAAGCCTTGAAGCTGCTGGAAAAGGCCCTCAGCGTAACAAGCTCTCCCCCCTATGAGAAGGTACTTATTTGGTAGCGGCTATGGTCAAACCTAGGACCTTCAAGTTAAAAGATGCGAACGGAAAGATGCTTCCCCGAACTTGGAATGTGGACAACCTTCGCAAATACTATCAGTAGAAGATTGATGTTACTATTTGTTATGTGTAATATCGTTTGTGACGTTCGTTTTGCTTTGTAACTGTGCCTTGTATTTTCTTTGAGTTTTTCGTACGTTGTTGTAGAAGAACACTTGTTTTGTATCCCAGGGGGACCTAGTCCGACCTCTTCCACACAGGTTAAAATCATTAAGCAAATGTTTTGATTAACAACCTCGGATAGGTCAGAGTATCGCAAAGCGGATATCTCTCGCATTCGTGTAGATTAGAAAGACTTTATTAACATTTGAGTTAACATATATAAAGAAGAAAATTGTCTTTTTTATAAGCCCACGAACATCAAGTGCATCATCCAAAAATAGCAACACACGAACAGCATGAACATACGAACAATCATCGCAACAAAAGCAAAAGCAATACGGAAAGCATCAAAACAGTTCTACAGAATCTCAAGATCGTCATCTCTACCAACGCGAAGATCTTTTTCAAATCACTCTCCAATTCTTCGCCGCCAGAATCTGGAGAAGGATCACCAGAAGCTTGGCTTGGGGTCAACCCCTCGATATCCCCTCCGTTCCTGCGTTTCACAACACGAACGCCCTTCATAAAGCTTTTAATGAAGCCATCCTGAATAAGCTCCGCTTATAAGGCCTTCACCTCTACGTCATAAAAATAATCGCGAGCTTCTTGTACCTTCTCTGACAACTTATTCAGGAGCTTCTTATTCTCAACCTCGAGGGTTCGCATATTTTTCAGTTGTTGGTTGTTTGTTGCCTTCGCCTCCACCAACTGAATATGCAAACGATCCATCCGCTCATTTTGGGAAGAGGCTGAAGCAATCTTGTTCGCTAATTCTGTTCTGCATTGATCGAGTTGACTCTCCACCGTCTCCATTTCCTTCACTTTGCCGTCGTATTTCTTCTTGTATTCTCCCTGGAGGTATTTGACCTTCACGAACTCGTCATTCCAATCATCCAAGATTTTGTTCAACTCAAGATACTGTTCAAAAAAGAATCAATAAGTAAAAAGTATATCATCTAAATTAGACGCAAATACAATGGAAATAGAGGAAATGTAAACCCACCAACTCTTCGACTCGCCGACGACCGATACACTTATGTTTCAGAACATCCTCTGGAATGTATATCCTGGATGGAGAAAAGCGAGGGCCCTTACCGGCGACTGCAAAAACATCGTTCGACTTCTTCTTCTTAGGCGTATGTGAATCTCCCTCGCCCTCGGGTCGCCTAGATTGAGTTATTTGGACTTCCGAGGCTTTTGTGGATATCTTCAATTTTTGTGTGTATGACCTCCCTGCATGAGTAGATAGTCCCACTTTAAATAAATATTCCTCATCCAAGCATTTGCTAAGAGAGCGCATCTCGTAATGAAGAGCTTCGGTATTAGGAAACCTCAACCGTCAGAAAGCCGTGGGGGAAAGAAGAAAAATCTCGTAACTCCTGCACCCGAGGAGGGGCGCTAATTTGAGTAGGGGAAGTTTCCCGCTCGCAAATAGCGGAAGCCTCAACTGTCAGAAAGCCGTGGGGAAAAGTAGAGAAATCCTGTAACTCCTGCGCGCGAAGAGGGCGCTAATTCGAGCAGGGGAAGTTCCTCGCTCGCAAATAGCAGAGGCCTCAGCCGCCAGAGAGCTAGAGGGACAAAGAAAGAGAAGTTGCAAATTTTCTAAAGGCCTAGGGGGCCTATTAATAGGTTTTGGAGAGAAAGGAGGGAAGTTATTGCCATTTTGGAATTTTCCTATTTTACTAAATTTTTTTCGAATTTTTTGGTATTTTCTCGGAATTTTTTGGACCAAAAAATAGCGAAAAAGTGCTATTTTCGTGCATGTGGGGCCCACAAAGTCAGTGGGCCGAACCGACATGTCTCTCTCCACAAAACTGGGCGGACAGCAAAAAAG